TGTCCTTCTTAGAGATAAAGAAATAATAAGGAAACATCTTTTATAGCCACATTAAATAAGAGAAACTGATATACATTATTTTTCTTTCTTTTTTAAGATAACTTTTAAGAACCCTGAAATGCATATAGGTGAGACATAGAGATGAAAGGGTTTTCAGCCAGGCCATCCTGAAGGAGTTACTCTGCTAACAGCGGTCTTAGTTGTCTGACAGGCCAACTGTTAAGCCTCTTTCCAACAGTGTCAACACTGGCTTCTCCTGGTTCATTCTGGACACGTAAGAAGTCCGTGGTAACTGCTGCAGGGGCCGCATATTAGTGGTAACTGGTTCAAACAAAAGCTGTAAGCCTGTGTGCCACTCTTCGCTTTAACAGTGTATCCTACTAACAAGCCTCACCTAACTAATCCAGCGAGTTTTAACTCTAAACCTCTTTCCTTTTCTCTGGCCCTACCTTTTTTCTTTTCTTCCCTTTTTCCTTTTCTTTTTATTTTTCTTTTTAAAAATATTTTTTTGTGTTATTAACAGGAATTCATATTTGGTGTGGCTTAACTGTATTTCAGAAGGTCATCAGATTGTGAGACTGCTTCCTTGAAACATTTTTGTGCTATTGTTTTAAAAAAATAATAATTAAAAAACAGTTGGCGTTAATAAAAATGTCAATGTGAAATTGATGTCCTGATTTCTTTTATTCTCTTCAATAAGAAATTATAAACGTTTCCTATCATTCACTAGGATTATAAGAAGTTTTGCTATCATGGGATTTTTTTGAGTCTAAGAAAATCCAGTTTCTGAATTCCTTAATGACTGAGACCTAAACAGAAAAATCCTGAGTCCTTCTAAATTCATTCTGGATCAGTCAGCATTCAGGAGTTAACCTGACACTTGCCAGTTCCCGTTTCTTGAGGCTCTCTTGTCCAGGTGCCACACGCAGGGCGGCCATGAGGCCATCTAGGCATGTGCTTAAGGCACCAGCAAAGTAGGGACACCAAAAAGACTGAGAAGAAATCTGCTTAGTATTCTCATTTTACAATTAGAAATTCTAGAAAGAAGTAATTTCATTTTCAGCATATATACAAGTTTTGTGTATAATAGTTAATTGGCTTGAATTATGCTGCGGCACAGGTGGTGGAGGGTGTCTTCTGAATCCCCTTCAGAGCCTCTCCCATCCTATTCTGTGCCCCGGGAGGGCTTGGCCCACACGGACTGCACTGACAGGGTCCTTTGCCCTCTGACTTCAGGTTGTGTTGATCCAATTTGTAATACCTTCAAGATCAAAAGGCATGAGGAGAGGACGGTCAGGGTATTTATTCACCAGGCTTCCTCATCCCCAGGTCACATGGATCGTCTGTGACCCTCTACCAAAGGCCACGACTCCTGTTCAGAAGCCCTCTCTAGCTTCTAGCTCCGTCACTTTGCCCCTTCAAATCTAGGGAAAGGATTATTCCCTTACTAGTTCTGGATCATTCCATTATTCCTTGTTGGTTCCCCTGAACTTTGCTCATGTCTTTATAAATAGTCCCTTTATTAAACCTTCGTCAAGTTACCTAGTTCAAGTGTGTTCTCTGTTCTCTACTAATATCCTGACTGATTCTGGCACCAGAGTCCTGATGACAACGGGTCTCTAAAGGTGTTAATTCAGCCTTTTTGGTGTTAGATTTACTGCTTGTCTTCCAAGTAGCTCCCTATCGGGTAATATATTCATTTTACAGGTGAGAAAGCAGGCTCAGAAAAACTGGGTAAAGTTACACAACAAATAACTTAGGGGGCACCTGAGTGGCTCAGTTGATTAAGCATCCAACTCTTGGTTTTGGCTTAGGTCGTGATCTCATTCTCTCTCTCCCTCCCTCCCTCTTAAACTTGAAAAAAAAAAAGAAAAAGAAAAAAACAACTTAGAACCAGTGGTCAGCCCAAGATCACCAGCCTCTAAAACCTGTTTTCTTCTCACTAATTGTCATGTCTTCACATTTAAAAGGTCATACAGGGGGCGCCTGCGTGGCGCAGTCGGTTAAGCGTCCGACTTCAGCCAGGTCACGATCTCGCGGTCCGTGAGTTCGAGCCCCACGTCAGGCTCTGGGCTGATGGCTCGGAGCCTGGAGCCTGTTTCCGATTCTGTGTCTCCCTCTCTCTCTGCCCCTCCCCCGTTCATGCCCTGTCTCTCTCTGTCCCAAAAATAAATAAAAAACGTTGAAAAAAAATTTAAAAAAAAAATAAATAAATAAAGGGTCATACAGTCAGACTGGATCCAGGCAACAGCTTTAAAGATTTTTAATGATTTTTCCTTGGTTAAAGATTTTAGTGGAAATCAGAAGGTTGGAAAGAAAGATGAATGTGGGGTACCTGGCTGGCTCAGTAGAGCATGCAACTCTTGATCTTGGGGCCACGAGTTCAAGCCCCACATAGAGCTAATTAAAAATTTTTTTTCAGGGGCGCCTGGGTGGCTCAGTCGGTTAAGCGGCCGACTTCGGCTCAGGTCATGATCTCGCGGTCCGTGAGTTCGAGCCCCGCGTCGGGCTCTGTGCTGACAGCTCGGAGCCTGGAGCCTGTTTCGGATTCTGTGTCGCCCTCTCTCTGACCCTCCCCTGTTCATGCTCTGTCTCTCCCTGTCTCAAAAATAAATAAAACGTTAAAAAAAATTTTTTTTTTCAAAAAAAAGATGAATGTGTTACTTCCTATAGGGAATTTGACATTATCTTTTATTAACGGGAAGCAGTAAACCATTTTGGAATACTACATGGTGCTGCATGAATTCTTAAATTTACAGTTTCTAAGGATGGGTTTCAGGGAGCAAGGAGCCCCTCGAAAGTATTGGTAAAGAATAGATCTCTGTAGTGTGCGATTTAGGGGGTATGAGTGGAGTTCTGGAGCTTTGAAAAGATTCTTTCAATTCTGTTACCCAAACAGGTCCTAGAATGTGATCAGAAAGACTTGGAGCCACATTTGTACGGTTAGTGATTATTTTTTTTAGCAGGGCAGAAAATAAACAAGCTTTTGGTAATCTACTTACGGCACTGAATCTACACTTAAGAGATAGCCTCATTTTTTACTGAATAAATTACTTGATGAGAAATTAATCTCTTCTTACTACATACTGATTTTAGGCTCTCCAGGTTTTTGGTGTGTGTGTGTGTGTGTGGTTTTTTTTTTTTTTTAACGTTCATTCATTTTTGAGAGAAAGGGAGAGACAGAGCGCAAGTGGGGGCGGGGCAGAGAGAGAGGGAGACAACAGAATCCGAAACAGGCTCCAGGCTCTGAGCTGTTAGCACAGAGCCCAAGGCGGGGCTCGAACTCACAGACCGCGAGATCATGACTTGAGCCAAAGTTGGAAGCTCAGCCAACTGAGCCACCCAGGCACACGCGCGCGCGCGCGCGCACATGCGTGTGTGTGTGTGTGTGTGTGTGTGTGTGTGTGTGTGTGGTTTTAAATTTTTTATAAGACTGAAGCGCCTGGATGGCTCAGTCAGTTGAGCGTCCGACTTCGGCCCAGGTCATGATCTTGCGGTCCATGAGTTTGAGCCCCGCGTCGGGCTCTGTGCTGACACCTCAGAGCCTGGAGCCTGCTTCGGATTCTGTGTCTCCCTCTCTCTCTGCCCCTCCCCACTCATGGTCTCTCTGTCAAAAATAAACACTAAAAAATTTTTTTATTTTTATTTTTTTATAAGACTGTCTTCTCCTTTGAGATAATGCAGAAATTCACCCAAGGTGGACCGTGCCTTCTTGCACCGCCCCCAGCGGGCACAGACTGCTCAAGGTGCTTGGTTTCCAACACAAGCACAAGAGACAGGAGACCCTGATGGTAATAAAATGTTGGGCCAAACAACTGCCTTCCCTGGGAAACCAAATCAGAGGATTGGTTGCTGTACCAGGACATTTGATGGCAAATGGGATAGACGGCAGGGTCAGAGGAGGGAAGGTTTATTGGGCTGTTCGTGCCACTTGTAAAAAGAAAAAAAAAAAAAAGTCTGCTCGGTCCTGCAGTTCCGCTGCTGGTATCTGGTAGGTGTTGCTTTCAGCACTGAACTTCTGGTTCCAACACTGGGGTAGAGTTAACGACAGAAACATAGCTATCGATCTACGCTTTCTCGGGGAAGTTGCCAGCAGCTGACAGGAGACATACTGTGTACCAATTAAGATGACAACCGAAGAAAAATCTAATTAAATCTTGCCATAGTTTGGCTGACCATGCCAGCATGGCCGTCTGAGCCATCTGCCCCTCCCCATACCCCCAGCCAACTTGAACCATTTTCATCAGTTGGACAAGTGGTGCAGGTATGTAACATTGCACTT